AACTATCACAGCCCTCAAGTACAGCAATTCTAGTGCCAGGCTGCCTAAGTTTCAACTCCCTGTTCTGCTAGTATTAGCTGTGGACTTTAGGAGTCCTGAGCCTCTGTATTTCAGATTTTTCATCTGTAAAATGTGCATAGATTGAGAGATTTAATATAAGAAAAGTCTTTTAAGTTGTTCCAGGCCCAGAGTAAGCACTATATAATTTTAGACATTTCTTGTGATAGAGTTATAATGAGTCCTTTTATCAAGGGCCAATAGGAAGGTTTAGATTGGAATGTAAAAATTTTAAATGCTTGAAAGAATTTTCAAAAAATCAGAAAGTTTTCCTGACCAGTGTGGCTCAGTGTGTTGGGCATTGTCTTGCAAAGCAAAAGGTCACTGGTTCAGTTTCCAGTCAGGGCGCCTGCCTGGGTTGTGGGTGTGGTCCCCACACAGGGCACCTATAAGAGGCAGCCAATCAATGTTTATCTCACATCAATCTTTCTCTTTCTCTTTTTCCCTCCGTTCCCCTCTCTCTAAAAATAAATAAATAAAATCTTTCAAAAAATGAGAAAGTTGACATTAATGTTTCTCAGCTTTCCTCTTGGATCCCCTTATTTAACATCAAAAACTCTCTTTCATGTGCTTGTTGTTAAGAAGAGTCCAGGACATAGCCATAAACAGCAGGGAAGGAACCAGATTTGGCAGAAACTTAAACATATTTTTTAAATCCTTCCCTACTGTCTTCATACTGCTGTTCAGAGGACAGTAAAAAAGCCCTATTATGACAGAAGAAAGCAGGAAGCATTAACACTATTCTTTCTTCTAAAGCACAGGAACATTATGAGGAAAATAACTGTCTTCAACCAGCATCCTCATTGTACCAAGTTTCTTTAACATTCATTAGGCTCTAGGACTCTGTGGACTTGATCATTCAGCTCTGCCCTACTTGAGATACGGCTTTCAGCCAGTCGTGCCCCTCTGTTTGCCCTCCATGACCACCGATGAGGCCCAGGTTTGAGAGCAGCTAAATCGGGCCCTGGTCACCTAACTAGGGTAAGTCTAGCCCTACCCTAGGGATACACAAGGCTTTCCTGGGGCTGTGTGGCCAGGAGGGAGAGTCTGTTCTGGCCCTAAAAGTTAGATCTGGACTGACCTGTTTCGAAATCAGCCTCTGGTAGGCCCCTTGGATTTTTGAACAGGTTGCATACACCCCAATCCACAGCGGTAGGTCTTACGCAAAGGCAGGACAGGTTTAAGGTAATATATTTCAAGATCTCTTATTTTCTAAATGTGACCTGAGAAAGTGCCTGAGACTGAATTGTAATTCAAATTCTCCTTTCTGACTGCTTCCACTTTAGTAATTGTCCAGGAGAGAATTTTTCTTTACTTTCTTACTTTAATAGTCATTTGATAAAGCCTAGTAAAATATTAGCAGTATACTGTCTAGATATTGAGAAATTGGATGAATTTAATACTGAGTTATAAAGCCCTTTGCAAGTCAGGTATTTTCCAATTCATTGCTTTAAAAGAAATTGAAGGAGGAACTAATTGAATTGTCAGCTGTGAGATCATTAAAATAATTTTTGAAGCTATATTACTATGTGAATTTTTGCATATATTTTGGAAAAGGTTCAAAGAATTGAGTGACATTTTTGTACAAGATTTTCATTTTCATATCCTTGCTAATGTGAACTAGGTTTCTCTTAAAGCAAAAATAGGAATAGAAATAGAATTGATCCTTTGCTCTATCTCATTATATCCATGGTATAATTTTAAAAGCCTCATATATCCTACTAAGAGCTTTATTTCCAGTAAAAGCTTACTTGTTACCTTTAATTATTACTTAACAACATGGACAATATATTTATGTTGTTTTATCAATATTATCCTTGTATTGATAACTCATTCTAAAAGAAAATATTATTACTCAGAGCTTTATGGTCGTGGAACATAAAAGAGATTTAAATTTATATATAAATATGATAGCTGATCAATAAAAGATTTTTAAACATAAAATATATCAGGATACAATCTTACAGAGGACATACAGAGGAAACACAAGTTCCATTTAAAAAAGGAAGGATGTACGTTATATAACTGTTAAAGAGGAGCTTGTTCATGAATATTGGAAACAGATAATCAAGCCCTGCAGGGTGGCTCAGCTGGTTGGAGCACTGTCCTTTGCACCAAAATGTTGCAGGTTCCATCCCTGATCGGGGTGCATACGGGAGGCAATAGATCAATGTTTCTCTCTCACATCGATGTTTCTCTCACCCCCTTTCTCTCTCTCCAAAAATCAACAAACATATCCTTGGATGAGGATATTTAAAAGAAAGAAAATAGATAATCCCGAGTATCAGATTACTATGGTATTTAAATTTCATTAAATAAATATATGTGTGTGTGTGTGTGTATAATGATGTTTTAACTTTAAAATGTGAATATTTTCCACAGAGAAAAAACACATTCTTTGCAACTATAACTTAAATTTTAAAAATGATGTCAACTGAAAAATGTGCAAGGGATCACATACTTGACAAAATGGAAGCAGCCTGTCTCTTTGCACGTCACCTGTGTTTGTGTGGCCCCCAGGGCCGGAGACGACCCCCTTCCCTCTGCCTCCCTTGCAGCCCACTTCCAGGCTTGCTCACCCATGCGACTGTGCCATTATAGCTTCACTGTTAGGAGTTATTCAACCAGGGGTTTGGTCTTTATGCAAACAGAGCCGCCATTGGGATAGGGGTGACCTTATCAATCATTTACAACTCAAAGTGAATGAATGAGTCTATCTTTTTTCCCCCTTCCCCAAGAAAATGCTTTTGAAAGTTTAAAGCAGGGAAGGTCTTTTGGGGCTTTAGTCTTCTTCATCAGTGAAATGGAAAAGTTTCCATAGAAGGAAAAAAATTTGTGGAAAGTGAAACTTACTTCCCAGGATTTGAAAAAAAAAAAAAACATAACAACACATGACTTCAATTTTTCTCTATACCAGTGACACCCTTACTAAGGTGAAGAAGAGTTGTTTGATGACACCTGAATTGTTAGGACCTAGTGGTGTGTGCAGGTGGGCCCCCAAAACTCACCTCACTGATGTTACCTAGAAACAATTACAAGATTAGTTCTCTAACTCCTGGTGTGCAGAGAGATACCTGTGGTCAGGTTAAAAGAAAAGCTTCATAGGAAAGTTTGAGTTCGATTCTATTTCAGGTAAAAACAAATCACCACAAACTTTACACATGTGAGCACGTGTTTGTGAGGCATGAAATGTGCAAGGACAGATAACAGACCGTTGCTGAAACAGTCACCTGGGAGAACCAGCAGCTGCTGGGTGAGGATGGAATGGTGAGCTCGGCCTCTCATTCTGTTCGGCATCTCTGTGTTATATTGGCTCACATGTTTAAACATGTTTAGTTTACTTTTGTAGTTTGAAAAAACACAGCAAATAAGACAGTTTAAAAGAGAAGAATCTCCTGTTACCATTTGAAAGCACCTAATTATCAACCCCACCCCTGCCTTAGGCCTCCCGCCTTCCCCAGGCCCCCTAAGTGATGGGTGGAAGTGTACATAAAAGACCTCAGTAATTGGAAGCTAGTGTTGTTTCTCCTCCTCCTCCCCACCAGGGAGAGGGCCTCTCCAGACTCGGCGCCCTCCCCTTCCGATGCAAGCTGTCACCCTGGGGCTCCAGGATGGCCCTGGCCCTGTCAGGCTGGCTACCTTGCCACAAGGAAGCAACGTGTCCAAGATGTGCTCTCTGTCTTCCACTGCCAGTGTTGTTGGCACGCTGCCCATCTCCCGAGCCCTCTGGGAGGGAAGGATCTCTGTTGTCAGTCAAATGGGATCGGATGTAGTAAGGAACGGCAGTGTTTCTTCCGTCTCCGTCTCCTCACCTGGAGGCACTGGATTCACGCCCTTCTGCCCAGGAGGTACACCTGTGGCCCTCTGCTCCAATATCTGGGGGAGCAGCGGGCTGTAATTGCCCCTGTCTATTTGCTCAGACGCCCCAGCTCGGCTTCCGACTAGAGCATTGCGTGCTAGGTGGGCAGGACTTTAACCCTTTCACCATGCCTTTCCTCGCAGACCTACATTTATAAAGGATTCCTTTCTTCTTTATTTTCCCTTTACAGGTTCTAAGCTCATGGGGAACATAGGTGGCTTTTCTTCCTGACCAACAGGCATATTTATTTCTACATTAAACCTGGTAGCCCGCAGGTCATGCACCCCAAAACCAAACCCTACTTGCCTCCCGTTGTTGGGACTAGTCGGTGAGAGGAATGATGGTTACCAAGGTGATATCAGCCATGTTGTTGGCTCTCAGGGCGCAGGGAAGGAGTGTAGGAGAGCAGAGAAATTGCCTGGCCATTTCCTCTTCCCTCTCCTGAAATCTTAAGAGGTAGTCATGGCTTCCTCCAACATCATTGGCTTTCTAGGGTGGATTTTGCCGCTCCATGTTATAAATTATAGTTTGCAGTCACTGGGCAGCAGAAGGGTTCAGAGGGTTATCAGAACCAGGAACCTCTGGAGGTAAACATGTTCAATTTTTGACCAAAAACAAGTTAGGTATTTGCTTTGTGGCTTATCTGTGAACTGTTCGAAATTCTGTTCCACATTTTCTCCCCATGCCCCTAGGCCACTTCTTCCACAAGGTGCTAAATTTGCTCAAGAAATACAATTTTTGTATAAGCCTAGGGGAGAAATAAGATGGAAAGCAAATATAGAGCAAAGATATTCACAGACTATGTTCCTAAATCAAATGCAAATGATCTTGTGTCGTCGGTTCTTCAGGATGATTCAGACCACTCTTAACCTATATTTAGGAAGTCTCATCAATAATGAATTGTTTTCTTTCAGCACTAGGTTATGTTGTTTTATTTGTTTTTTAAAGATACAACCACTATATTTATCATATAATCTTTCAACCGTCTCTTTCTCCCATCCTCCCTCTCCTTTCTTCCTTTCTCCCTTCCTCAATATTCCCCTTTCTTCTTCCCTTCCCTTTTACCCTGCACTGCACCCCACAGATGTACCATAGATGACCGGGTCACCCGGGTGGCCTGGCTAAACCGCAGCACCATCCTCTATGCTGGGAGTGACAAGTGGTCCATAGACCCTCGTGTGATCATCCTGGTCAACACACCAACCCAGTACAGCATCATGATCCAAAACGTGGACGTGTATGACGAGGGCCCGTACACCTGCTCTGTGCAGACGGACAACCACCCTAAGACCTCTCGGGTCCACCTCATCGTGCAAGGTGAGTTACAGCTGGATTCATGGGTCAAGGTTGCTGTCAATGACAGAGGGGAAGCACAATTTCAGTCTTTGCATCTACTCTAGTATGAAGACACAAAAAGTCCTTTTCCTCCATACCATCCAGAGATTGAGTGTAAGTCCTGTATTCCTTCTCACCTTCTGGTCCTTGACTGAGGACTGAGTATTTTCATGGAGTTTCTCAATTTTATCTCTGATCCTTCAGTTCTTATCAATAGCTTACTTGACACATGCTGGTTGTGCTCTCTTAAGTTACTTACTCTTTTGGAGTTGGAGCCAGATATATTTAAAAAACAGACACAAGGTCCACTTTCCATATGTATAAATATAACTATAATAAAATATGATACTGTTTGTGTAGAGATCTGTTTTTAAGAAGCTCTTATAGGCTTGTTTTATAATAAAAGGTTAATGCTATTGATGTGCAATCATGTGACTGGGGACTGCTTTTGCATACGAGACAGTTTTGCTGTTCTAGAAGTGTTCCGAGCCTGTTCTGCCAGGTTCTCCATGGCATTGCTGCCACTCGATGCCTCTCTCAGCCTCGCAGTAGAGCTGCGATCAAGAGAGAGATTAGTCCCAATTATATTTCCAAGTGTATGTGGAAATGACTCTATGTAATTAAAAAAAGGGGGGATTAAATCCCTGGCATTCTTTCCTATTCTCCCTTTAAAAAGCTCAATTGATATAACCCAGACATAGTGTTTAATAATTTTTTTTATTCAAATTTCACTTTGTAGAAAAAAAATGGGGCCGAAGAAATGTTAGAATTTCAGATATCAACTATTAAATATTGAAACCACATTCAGGTAGCAGTTAGGAGAACTTGAGAACCATTTTAGAACAAGACAGCAATACAAATGGACTGATTTCGAACTGCTCCCCATGAACTGCACAGCCTGCTCCATCGCTCTGTAAAGCAGTTACTGTAGCTATTGGCTCACGGCAACAACGAAGGGTTAAGCTCGGCCCCACCCTCCACTGGCCCATCCTTCATCCTTCCTCTACCAGGTGAGAGGTGTGGGTAGACCTCTCTGGGTCTCCTGCACTGGTGGCTTGGGACCATGAACTGAGCACTCAGAAGGAGTCACTGTGTCTGCTTTAAGTTTTAGTACCTGTCTTTTATCAGATTCCATCTGCGGTAGATTAGGAAGATGTGTGAGTTTATGAAATGTGTATGGCATCCTTGCTTAGCTAATATGGAGTCTCTCGCTCCTCCTGCCTTTCTAAAAAGTATAATGTTGCTCCTTTCATTTGGTGTCATGGAGGGTTGGAGCAAGGGTTCATGTGTCTCCCTGCTTCAGTCAGGATGCAGCTCTTTGCTAGCACAGCATGCAGGTCTCTGACGCTGGGGGCCATTTCTAATGGCACATGCTGGGCCAGAGGCCTTCGTGCAGTTCCTGCACCTGCACTGGCCCCGGTGCTGGCCTACGGCCGGAGCCTCGCCTCGTTCTGCCTCCGAGCCCTTCTCAGGCCTCCACCTGCTCTCCGACGCCCACAGCAGCCTGCCCCATGACAGCTGTCCGCATGCTCGGCTGTTTCCATTCTCCACACATGCCCCACCCAAGGGTATGGCTTTGTCATGATCACTGCTTTGGCACTAAAAGACAGTCTGCCATCTGGAGGTAGAGACAACTGTCACATCCGATGCTCCTCCTCAGAGGGCGGGGAGGCGCTCAGTGAGATCAGTCAGCGGAGACGAGCTGCGATGCCTGCTCCGCGTGTCTGAGGTGCAGGAGACACGGGACAGTGCATACTCTCTCCAGCGCCTGGCACCTGGTCTTGGTGTCAGAAGAGCTAAAATTCTCCGCATTGGAAGCTGATGCCTCCGTGGTGCTGTCGGGGCCTACAGCAAAGTCCTCTTCAAATTTGGGAAATGTGACACTGAAATAAAAAGGGACTGTCAGGCAGTGCACAGCCGCCAGTACAGGCCCGGAAGTGCGGAACTTTGGGGACAGTGTCCTCACAAGGCACGGGCAGCTGTGTCTTGGGCTGGACTCAGAAGCCAGTGGTGCCTCCCTGTGGGCCTCAAACATTGGATCAGGAAGGGTCTATGAACTGGCAAAAGGTGGAGCAGCAGAGTCTTCAATTCCAGGGTTCAGGCCCCTCACCGTCCCCACGTGCAGGCCAAGCCCCTCTGGGAGTCGGAGGTGGCCCAGGCAGTCGATTGAAAGACTGGAGAGTGCAGTGGTGGGGGAGAGTGCCTTCTCTTGGAACATTTAGCAGACGGGTCTTTACATGTATTGAGAGGTGGAAAGAAGGAGCTCAGAGTGCTGCCTTCTCTTCTGTCTTGATTAGCAATGAGGTGGCTTGTTCCTTCTGTGGAGACCAGTTGGACTTTCCAGTGGGTGGGAGCAGAGACTCTACTGCTCAATTAGAAAGACATCCAAGAATCCTCCTTCTTCCCAGCAGCTATCGGCTTTTGTCCAGTGTATAGATTAATTTTTCAGACTTAGTGTTAGTTCAGGTTAGATAAAGATAATGAAAGTTTCCTAATCCTCTTAAAGAAGATTTATCTGACTGAGTAGAAAGCTTCGGGAATACAATAAGGCATGTATAAAACTGAGGCCTAATCTTGCCTTTAATTTCAAACTGCTGATGGGTATTGATTTTGCAATGAGAAAAACTGAAAAATTTCCGAGCTGCAACTTGTCTGTTTAGGGGGAAAAAGAAAGTGTTTATTTATCGTCTGCCCATTTGAGAATGTTAGGATCTCATCATTGTTGCCAACCAAGTGTCATCAGAGAAGGGGGCAATTCCTGGGCTCCCGGTTTCATCGTTCCTTCTGCAATGCAAGGAACTGCAAGGTGCTCTCAGCTCAGAGCCCATCCTTACTGTCTTATATGGTGACCTTTGCCACATATCTGATGGAGTTGATTCCTAAGTCCTTCCTTTTGAGAGAAGCTGCATTCATTAAAATATCATCACTGATACCCAAACGACATCTTGCCACTGAGGGGCAGCTTCAAGGCACCATGTGAGTGTGTGTGATAGTGTGAACAGGCTGTACACCTGGGTGTTCCAGAAATCCCAAGCAAAGGGAAGAGATTGTTCTAGTGTCCCATTAGTCAGGTGGGAAAATCCATCCGGTAGCCCTCTGCGGAGCGGGGAGAAGTGAAGGGAAGCTGGTGGCACAAGGAGTAAGTCATTCCTGTCACCCATTAGTTGTGCCAAGACTGGGCTGCAGATCTACCTTTAGGAACCAAGAAGGTTCCTCCAAGAACTATTGTCCAAGTATAATTGAGAGAATTAATGATAATGCCTTGAAAGAAGAAAAACTAAGAGGTTCTATCACCTACATTTTCAATAAGGACATGTTGATAGCCTTACTCATAACTGTGGCGTTAGGATCATGTGCTACTAGGAAAGAAAAGCGCTAGGCTTGCTAAGCATAAGGGTAAAGAAACACACCCATCACACAGGTATTACAGAACTAAGGAGCAGGTGTAACGCAAGACCAGAAGGGGCATATTTGAGACCCATCTTGAATTTACTAGCCTGAGAGTGAGATTTCTGTGATTAACTATTCTTAGAGAACAGCAGGAACCATAACTTATTTATATTTATCCCCAGTGCATAGCACACTATCTGAGGCCTTCAGTATATGTTTATAAAACACACAGAAGAACAGGTTGATGCAGCAAATGAAACGGCATGTAAAGGCAGTGATCGTAAAGCCCCCCTCCAGCAGAGAGGAGCCAGGACTGTGTGAGACACTGTCCAGGTGACTTGGAGAGGACAGTAAGTGGGAATAGTTAGCTCCCTGGAGGGATGAGGGTCTTCCCTGTGACAAGCTAAGAGACATGTTATAACAGAGATAACATGAATCCTGTGCATGTATTTAGGACTTCACAGCACTGGTCACAATCTGTCTCATTTGACCCTCACAACAAGCCCTGGGAGACTATAGGGCAATGACTGCTATCTCCATTTTTGCAAATTAGGTTACTGCTGCTCACAGAGATTAAGAGACCAGTCGGTGTCTCCTGTGAGTAAGCAGCAGAGCTGGGTCTTGAACCATGGCCATGTGACTCCAAGGTCAGTGTTCCTGCCGCCTACCCCGCCACTCCCACTGCCAAGCGGGTCTGAAGTTACTTCTCTCATCTAGATCCGTTTTTTTTCCCTCTACTGAGATTGCACCGTACAAGAAGAAATGGAGAACAAAGCTCAAGGTAGAAAATTAGCAGTGGGGGTGGGAGGCTAAACCACAATGAATAGCACAGAGAGAATGAGTGAGAAAGCAGCAAAGAAGAGAATTAAATTACCAGTAGCTCATCCATTCAGGGACATGCATTTTAAATGTTACCTCTTTATCCTATGTAAGTACTGAAAACATGGCCCCTCTGAGAATCCCGTATTGAGTCGTTATTCTGGTTGGCACGGGTGCTTCAGCATTCTGAAACTAGGGAATATCCCTGTGTTGTCTCAAGTTGCTGTCGCAGTCAGTAGTCTGGGAGAGCTGGTGGATCTTTGTTCCCCGGATATTGTTATTTACTATCTGCTCTCCTGACTTAGTTCAGAAATCTGTTTACTACCTGGTGTTTTCTTCCATGGAATGGACTCCTCTTTCTAAACCCAATTTTACGTAAAGAGCTGGACAGGATGAATTACGTTAATTTCTCAAGCTTGAGACTCTATAGCAAGTTTATTCAATTGCTACATCAGCAAAAGACTTTGGGTCTGTGAGCCTGGAGCCAGTTCAGGTGAGACTGGTCGGGACCCAGACTTTCATTTAGCAGGTAGAGAAGTCAGGTTTGCCACCTAGCCTAGCCCTAGATCTTGCTGAGTGCCAGCCAGTCTCTGCCTTGCACACATTGTAAAGCATAAATCTCCTCTCAGTTGTCTCTCACAACAGCCTTGCAAACTCTACATCATATTCACATTTCACAAACAAGGAAATTGAGGCTTAGAAAGATTAAAAACTTGCCCAAAGATGCAGCTACTAAATGCTTTAAATTCTCTTCACCAGACTTGTCTCTAGAA